AGAATCTCTGAGACAAGGAGTATGAGCAAAGCGACTTCGGTAGACCGCGCCGTATCATCAATCTTCGTTCTCGGAAGCACAGCAGGTGCTCGTCGCAGTGGAGATACGGGAAGACCGCAATCCATCGATTTGAGATCGCTCAGCCGAGAAGAATTGGGTGGCGTCGAATACCGTGCTTTGCAAGTCCTCCTCAAGATTGTCAGTGGTAGGTCTTGTAACGCAACACCTCGGCGGAATACGTACTGACAATGTTAGGATATTTCTTTGGGTTGCATCTATTCGGAGCTGTGTGCTTGATACCATGGATCCATCTTGCTCCCTCCAAATACAAAGACTACGTCGTGTCCCAGGGCCAAGATATAACGTGGTGGTAAGTATTCGATATAATCTGACCGTGAAAAATTGTCTAAGAGCGGCCTCCAGGGGGATATATTCGGCACAAAGCATGGTAGACAACACAGGTCTCACCCTTACCCCAAACAGCATGGTTTCTTTTCGCGACGCAGCCTGGCCTATGCTCGTCATGTCCTTTTTAGCCCTCGCCGGCAACACACTATACCCATGCCTTTTGCGACTCCTCATTTGGATCCTGTGGAAGATCGCTCCAGCTGAATCGTCATACAGCGAGTCTCTGCGTTTCCTGCTGGACCACCCCCGTCGATGCTATACACTCTTGTTTCCCAGCACCGCAACATGGATCCTCGCCGGCATTGTCTTCGCCCTGAACTTCATCGATACCCTGCTCATTATCGTCCTCGACCTTGACAACCCTGAAGTCAATGTCCTCCCTGTTGGCCACCGCATCCTAGCAGCTCTCTTCCAGTCCGCATCATCGCGTCACACGGGTACCGCATCATTCAACCTTGCCAACGTAAATCCTGCTGTCCAGTTCAGCTTGCTCGTCATGATGTACATTTCCGTCTACCCAATCGCTATCAGTATCCGTATGAGCGAGAGTTACGAGGAGAGTCCTGTGGGGCTCTACGCAGAGGAGGAGAGCCTCGACGACAATAATGATAGCAAGACGTATCTGATCAATCACATGCGAAACCAGTTGAGTTTCGACTTGTGGTATATATTCCTGGGTGTATTCTGTATTTGCGTTGCTGAAAGCGACAGAATTATGAGCAAGCAGGATTGGGTAGGTATATCTTTTTCTTTTGCTGCTCTTCTACTACACGAAGAAAGAAGACATGCTAATCGCATATATATATGAACAGGCTTTCACCGTTTTCACCGTCTTTTTCGAAGTTGTCTCCGCATACGGAAACGTCGGGCTTTCCCTTGGCTACCCTACCAACCTGTGTTCACTATCTGGCCAGTTCACTCTCTTTAGCAAATTAGTCATCTGCGCCATGATGATACGTGGACGACACAGGGGACTGCCATACGCGCTGGATCGTGCCATCAATCTGCCTAATGACCTTATCACCGATGACGAACAGGAGAGATATAGGGACTTTGTTACTGAAGGTACTACTATTACGAGGGAAGCGACGGAGAGCAAGGAAGAAGGAAGGTTTGCAAAGAGTAGGAGACTGGTGAGGAGCTTGACACAGTAGCGTGCATAGACTTGTTTGCATTTGGAGCGGAGAGGACAGGATGTATTTTCTTTCCATGTTGCATTTTTGGTGCAGAGTGATTTTGGCTTGAAGAACATAGCGTCCACATAACATCACGTAGAACTATAGAAAGACGAGTCACAAAGAAGACCAAGATCTCATCAACACTGCATCCATTTCCCTCTTCCATAAACCAAAGCTAAAAAAATAGACCTTAGAAATAACAACCAACGTAACAAAACACCCACAAACTTACTCTCTATCCTCATCCCCTGAGCAAACCTAACGTTCCTCCCCTGCCCCCTCAGCTGCCCACTCCTCCCACCCCCATAACTATAATACCCCCTCCCTCCCTTTACTCTTCTCCTCTTCACCCCCCTTCCACGTACTCCCCACCTGCGGCTCAAAATAACTCCACTCATCCGAATTCACCGGCGCCAAAGCACTCATCCCGTACGCATTCGCCTGTCCCGCCGGCGTCGACGGCGTACGGATGCTGAATCCGTATTCGTCGCGCTGGACGGCAGGTTGAGGACGCGAGTAGGGGGAGGGGAATTCGAAACGGGAGGTTCCGAGGGGGCTTACGGGGGATCGGGGGGTTGTTGGGGTTTTGGAGGGGCGGCGGTGGCGGTGGGACGAGGGGGTTGTGGTGGCGATGGCGTGGGTTGTTATGTGAGGTTTTTGAGGGGCGGTGGAAGGCCTTATGATCACAGTGTTGTAGCTGGGCCTTCTGGGTTGCATGATATATGGCTTGGGCCTGGGTTCAGGGTTTTGGTGACGGCAGGGAGGAGGGGTACTTCCACTGCGATGGTCATGTGCCTGCTTGCGACTGCTACCTTCGCCTAGAGGGTTCTGCCCGGCGGATGTCTTACTGGGGCGTCTCCTAGAGCCAATTGGGATCTTGATCTTCAGTGATATACCCATGATAGCTAGTTTTATTTTATATCGGGCTTATGTTCTAAGTGTTGGTCAGTTTGGTGTCGTTGATGCGTCTATTATACAATTGCTAATTCTCGTGGTTTGAATGGGAGTTTTCTCAGGGAAGAGTATGGAAGCAATTATAATAACAGTCATGATATATTCTTTCGTTGAATAATACTGTGAGACAATGTTTGTGGTGAATGAACACATGTGCTACAGTTTTGTGAGCTAACAACGAGTAAAATGTGAAAGTACGGGAGCATTGTAAACGGGTCAATAGATCATGTGAATATCAACAGGTGAATTGTTTGCTTGTAGAGCGTTGATGGAGCAAGCCAAAGGTGATACATCATGTGTTCTTTGCTTGTCACTGGCATACTTCACCTATTACAATGCACCTTGGCAGATCAAATTCTCAATTTCGGTGACATCGTGAATGGAATTTGAAGTTGGTGAGACATGCGTCACTGATATGGACAAGGGCCGTAACACTGGTGTTTTTAGCATCGGTGAATTATACTTCTACTTTGCTTTTCTACTTCGCAACACTCTACCTTCACCAGGAGTGTCATTTTCATCATGTTCAGTCTCGTCACGTTCGTCTGAATCATCATTTTCATCTTCTGCATCCCCTTCTTCTCCTTGGCTGACATCACCGTCTACAATTTCACTCCGTCCAACAATTTCGTTACTGCGCCCTTCCCTTTCCTTTATTCGAAGCACCTTGATCCTCCATATGCGCTGTTCCATCCGAAGCCTTAACTCCTCCATCTCCTTTCTCTCTTTGACTGTCGCATTAATCGGTATGCTAGGCAGATTATCCAGATTCATCTCGAGATCTTCATCCTCATTTTTCCCGTTTACAAGTATACCCGCAGGTACAGTTCCACTGGCTGCTCCAGTACCATTCGATAACAGCAAAGGACCGGCCGCAACATCATCTAAATTGCGCTGCCAGTGCGGTACACGGACAGGAAATTGCTCAAGCCGAGAGAGCCTCTTTTTCTTCCGCTCTTTTTGTTTCGTCTTCTCAGGCTCCAAGTCGGAGAGAAAACCGGTGTCATCCGGTGCCCGGGGATCGGGATCTTGCTGCACCACGCTTGGTCTCTCCATGGTGGAGGGATCGAGCGTAGCTTCTTCTTCCACTTGCCGCTTCTTGCCTCGAGTAGCTTTTGCTTGGACTAGCTTCTTTGGCGGAGATGCCGTAGGATTCAAGTCGACTTTCAGGGGGCGGACATGAGTGAGATACTGGTATTTTCCGCCTGGAAGAGGTTCAGAAGAGCCTTGTTCTTCGTCTTCTTCTTCCGAGTCTACAACAGGTGCCACAGGTGTTTTGGGCAATTCTACAACTTCTGTTTGAACATTACTTATTGGCTCGGCTTCTTCTTGAGCGATTTTCGCCGCGTCTGCTTCTGCAATCTCTTTTTCATACTCTTTCAGAACAGCCTTGAGATCTGTTACTTTGACCCACCCCACCTTTCCAGCTGCTGTCCCATTTCGCTCTTGTCGTGCTTTGATTGCACGCCTGGCCTTTGCTCGAAAGTCCTGGATAGTGGCATTCGGTATAGCAGATATCTGACTTAAGAGCGTAAGAATTCCAATATCCCATTGTGTCGCCTCGAACTGCTTGTTGGGCCATAGTGCTCTAGGCAAACATTCGTGGACACGATGAATTTTCCAGTTTTTGGTGATGGATCGGATATTGTAGGTGACAGAACTTGATGGTTTAGATGGTTTAGATGGTGCCATGGTCACACCAATGAGGCGGCAAACTTGATACGTGTTGCTGATTGAGCCGATGTGTTGTAGACGAATTTTTAATGTTAGGCAGTCTGAAGAGTTCGTGGGGAAATATTATTCTGCATATAGATAGCATGGTGATGATGCAGACGACAAGACTCGGGGCGCCCACTTGAAATAGTAGAGGTGAAAGGCGGTAGGTGCGTGGCTGACTCGCAGACGCTAGCATCTAGAAACGGCTAGCCAAACAAGTCCAGCAGCATCCTTGTGCAGCGCCCCCAGCTTGAACGACATGAGATACTGAAGGAATAGAATACTAATACGTGCAATGTTCGCTATGGCTTCCCATACCTGGAGCTATGTGACAGCGGACCAATGATGTCATCGGAATTATCGGGCCGCGCTTAGCACTCAAGTCTGATACGCTAAGTTCGGTACTGAATGGCCCATTCATAGTCTGGCATGCCGAGAAGAAACATTCGTTGTCTTCTGAATTCCTGAACACTTCATGTTTCCATAGAGACACCTCCAGATGTTGTACAATCGTGTCGCGTGTATGATACAGATATATAGCACAAAGCTGAGAAGAGTGTGAACGCCGCCCGCCGCCGAACCTGACTGCGGTATATGCCAAAAAATCCCAAGAACACCATCCGCCCGCCCGTCATACTGCCTCCTTTTTTCCAGCGAATCAAGCCGCACTTCAAAAAACGTAATCATAAAATGGCACCCCTACGCAGCTACAGCCATGCCGCCGCTGCCAGGTGATGCTCCAGCGTCGCTTGGTGGTGGTGGGGGAGCGTCAAGCCTTGTGTTGTCGGCCATCATACGGTTGAAACCAATTGAGACGCCCTCAATGACTGCTAACAGAATGGCACACGATATCGCGCCGTTACGCATCGATTTGTAGCCTCCTCGCACCGCAAGCGACCCACCCGTGAAGAAACCAGCGATGATGGCATTCCATGGGTCCTCCTTCTTCCGGATTCCCTTGACGGCGCAGTCATATGTGTTGAAGAGACCTCCCCAGACACCAAAATTGCCGCCGAGGACTGGTGCGCGTGCCTTGATCGCTGTGATGGCGCCTATGCGTCGCTCGCCGTAGGGTGAATTGCGGAACTGGACCCTTGGTCAGCACGGCATTTTAAGACCAATGGTGATACCTACGCCTTTAACACCATGCCATACTGCTCCTCCGACAGCCTGATATCCGGTTAGTATATGCGCCGTACATGCTGCGTCTGGCAAGACATACACCCATGGCGAAAGCACCGCCAAAGTCATTGAGAATGACCCACGGACAAGGATCGCGCGAATGATCCATTGTATATTATTACTGCGGCAAGATTGGTGGCGGGGCAGAGAGGCGGGTGTAGGAAAAGTGCTGGCGACTTGAGGTAGGATGGTAGCCACTGATGATGATGTGCTTCGACGTTTTTCTCTCGAGGACCCTGGCTGGATTGGCGCTAGCGGCGAAACCTCGGGACTGCCCTTTACTTACAACGTCTTATGCCAACCTTCCATCGTTCCTTCTATCCTCAGTTTCTGAGCACCACTTATCATCAGTCTTGGATACCATCCATATAATAGAATCATGCCTGCATTCAGTATGGGATGGAGATTGACATGGCCTGTTTGGGCGTCGCCTACGCAATGGTTAGAGCAATCTCTCGCCGGATTGCCATGTCCCTATACCATGCTGTCTTGTTTCACTGTTCACTTTCACTTTTCTTTGCGCGCCCAAACTTTGCGTCAACTTGAGCTGCCTAACAAACGCAGGGTCTTGGCACAAACTTTCGCACTCTTATCAGTCTAACTGAACCCACTTACTTTCCTTCTCACTACCTTTGCCATCTGCTCATCACTCTGAATCTTTGTCACTATGGCGGCCGGTACACAGAGTGGGAGGCAAGATGGCGGTCCTCTATCCAGCGAGGATCTTCAGCCAACCGATCTGCCAATTCGAGAAGGTGGTCACCAAACGAGTTCTTCCGAGACACCCATGGTAGACCTGCTGGGAATGCACATGAAGGAAGTTATTTCGACAATCAACCGACTCGAAAGTCTTGGTTTACAGCGAATGGACATTCCCTTGCCAAAATGCGTTGTTTTGGGTAACGTTACCTGACGAATCAGCGCATATGATTTCACTGACATTTGACCAAAGGTGAGCAGTCCGCAGGAAAGTCATCCGTCATTGAGGCGATATCGGGCATCAAGACTCCTAGGTCTGACGACACATGCACTCGATGCCCTTTGTATATCAAGCTCGAGCCCACGGAAGATCCCCGCGCTAGTTGGAGCGCAAGCGTGAGCCTTCGCCGCAGCTTCAGCTATGATGGCAGGACTGGCCGAGGAAGTGAGAGACGGTTTCGTGGTTGGTGCGAGCTGCCGCAGCCAGTTCTCGTACCGTTCGCAACTACGGATAACCCAGAAGAGCTGGAGCATATCATTGGTCGCGCGCAACTCGCAACCATCACTCCTCTGGCCCACTACGAAGAGTTTCTGAATCCATCTCTCAACCTTGGAGAGGATCATAGGTGTGAGTTCAGCCCAAATATTGTCTGCATCTCAATCAGCCAACCAGGACTGTCATCACTCAGCTTCTACGATTTGCCTGGCATCATTGGACAAGCAGAAACTGAGGATAAGAAATTTCTCGTCAAGTTTGTACGTGATCTGGTTACAAAATACGTTCGCGACCCCGAATCTCTCATCCTCCTATGCTGCTCCCTAGAGACTGATATTGCCAACTCAAGTGCTGGTGGTATTGCAAGGGATTTGAAAGCAGTTGATAGATGCATTGGTGTTCTTACTAAACCCGATCGGTTGCCGGCAGGATCGCGTCACGATAAGCTGAAAGAAGTTTTCGACCAGAAGAGATTCGCTCTAGGCTATGGGTATTTTGCCGTCAAGAATCCTGGCCAAGATGAGATCAACCAGGGCATCAGCCATGGAGAGGCCCGTACCCGAGAGGAGCATTTCTTTCGCGAAGACACAACCTGGTCCAGTACGTTCAAGGCGTACACAAATTCCTTTGGCACAACGAATCTCCAAGCATTTCTTTCCAAAACGCTTGCAGAGCAAATGCTCAAGCGACTACCAACTATTGACCAGCACATCTTTGAACGCCTCTCTCGTATAGAGCAAGATCTTAAGCAGTTTCCTGAACCAGCTACCCATAATGCTATTCGGATTATGTCAGATATTATTCTTGACTTCTCTCAAGAAGTGCGCAGAGAGATTGAAGCTGAGTTTCCTTATAATGAATGGAGGAATAAGTGGAAGGCTCTCCAAAAGACTTTCTTTAGTAACTTAGAAAGTATGAAGCCAGCTATGAAGCTTCGTGGCGCTGACGACGAATCTGTGTATCTTGACGTACAGGCAGCGCTCCCTGGTGCCTCTGCGAAAGTGCCAATTTCGCTATCTGACGATGAAAACGAAAACGGTGATAGGAACTCCGCTGAGGATAGCGATGTGTCCAACAAGTCTCCAAAGAAGAAGCGAAAGATTGACAAAACACCGAGCCGTCAGGAGGGTCCAGATTTCAACAATCTAAAGATCACATTCGAACTTGATGCAGTTCGGGAATATTTGGCAGAGAATTCGCGGTCTAAGGTCCCGGGCCAGATTGAGCCGCGCGTTGTTGATACTATGATGCTGACAGCGATTCAACGTTGGGAGGAGCCACTAGACCATTTCTTGAGCAATCTCCGGGAGCAAGTTCACAACCAGATGCAAGAATTGTTCAAGAAGCACTTTGAGAGTCGCAAGGGATCCATGTTCTATGACAAGGCGTGGAATATCCTCCAGAAACTGATTCTGCCCAGCCACGACATGGCACGCGACAGCCTCAACGACGAAAAGCAGGGCCCATACATTTTCCACGAGGATCTCTTCGAACGCGAGAAGAGCGCAATGCTCGAGTATTACCAGCAGCACCGTCTCCAGAATCGACTTGCTCTGTACAAGCGGAAGAAGGAGCAACATACGAAGAAGCTGCTCACTCCCGCTGAAGAAGAGCGAGTCAAGAAGAATTCGATGCCTATTCTAGCGCACGAGCCTTATGCTCGCGAGATTGACGTTGTCGCACAGGTTACGACGTATTACATGCTCGCCGCTCGCCGCTTCCATGACGCTGTCTGTATGCGCATCGAGTCCAAGTTCCATAGGGAGCTGTGTACGCAGCTTCGTGATGACCTGGAGAATGGCCTGGGGATACGCAATGACGCTGAAGGTAAAGAAAATGGGTTATGGACTCACCATTTACTACGCAAAGCTAACTTTGTGTACATAGGCTATCAAAATGCGATTCACCTCCTTGCTGAACCAACGGATCGTTACAAGCAGCGCATGGACCTGCTGGGGCAGCGCAAAGCCTTACTTCAGGGTCAAACGATTCTTCAGGATCTTCAGAACAAGTACGGCGGCAGTGGTGGTGGTGGTGCTGGCATGCCTTCTGAGGAGAAGATGGAGGGTGTCGAAGATACGTCGTAGCTTCATCCGTTTCGTCTATCTGAGTGCGTATCTTGCATGTGTGTAAGGTTGCATCGTTGTATGCTGCGAAAATGGGCAAAGCGAATAGCTGAGAGACAGAAATTGGTTCGCAAGGTTGGGCAGTGGGTAAATGGAGGGGAAGAAAAAGAGAAGAAGGGCAGAGTGGCTCAGACGTGGAAACGACGTAATGGATTGAGTACTACTCTGGATTCCGACTTGAGAGGATTTCTCCACTTGACTTGTAGGAATTTTTTGATTGTGTAATGGTAAGCGTCAAGGGGCAAAGAAATTACACAATACGAGATTAACATGCGTTGTCAGCCCCCCATTCCTATAATTTGATGATGAACATGGTGGATTGTATGATTAAACTAGAATTTTAGGCTCAACAAACACCACTGTTATTCAAGCAAAAAAAAACACATGGGATGCGTTGTCACCATCCATCATCATGTAAAGCCTGGGTCCAGCCGCTGCTTCATCCAAGCTCCCACGTCCTCGACGCGTGATTTCCACGCTGGATTCTCATCCTGCTGACTCCACAGCCCAATCCCCCAGTGCGAGTTTACCTGGACGCGGCCATGGGCATACTCTTCGTAGTGCTTCTTCTCGGCTGCGTCGAACCACCGCGATCGCCCTGTATGCGTTTTCATCGTCTGACGGGCGATACTTCTACGCACCATTTTTGCGAGCTCAAGCGAGCTATCGGACAGTGGACTTTGCAAACCAGTGGTAATGTTCCAGACTGGGAGGGTTAGACGTGTGCCAGCTTGGGGATAGTTGCGGGCGTATGCACGACACCGGCTCAGGTACGGCAGCGGCTGTGGGGGTTTGGCATTCTCGTCAAAGGTGGCATAGTGGTTGAGGGCCATCTGAGCCTCCATGTCTAGAATCTCGTCGGGTTGCTGCGACGCAAAGATGTGGTCTGGCTGTGGATAGATCAACTGGGCATGGGGGGAACGGAAGAAATGGATTGGCGAGGCGAAGCGATCAAAGTAGTCATCTGGGCTTCTGAAGAGGATATCACGCTCTCCCGACAGAGTCAAGGTGGGTATGACGGTGTTGTCACCGTGGGCTTGCCAGGACGAAAGTTGCTGGGCCTTTGACGAAGGCCGCTTGCGAGACTTGCGTTCAGACATCAAGACATTACGAGTGGCTTCCTGGAGTGCCAATGAACCGGCCAAGTCCTCGTCGGCCGGGAGCGCTGTTTCATCACCGTTTATAGGTTCTTGGAGATCCTCGGGCTGCACAACGGGGAGCTCGTCCGGAAAGACCCAGTCGACGAGGGGGTTGTTGACGGCCGCGGCACCGATACGGCTCTCTCCAGCATGGCACTCGGTCAAGGCCAGCATGGTAGCTAGAGAGCCCCCGACGAGTTCTCCACATACGCCAAGACGAGCTAGATAAGGTCTGTTAAATGCATCAACAAGCAGATGCTCGCGGACCCAGTCGTAGCCGGTCAATACATCGTGGCATGGCGTGGGATACTGATGTACCGACGAAGCGCGGTAGTTGATGCGGACGATTGTTGCCGCGCTTGCTGCGGCTAATGTTGTGATGAGACGGTGTTCATCTTCTTCAGACTGTGGGAGTACAGGACCAGGAGGAAGATAGATCAAGATGGGGGCAGCAGGCTTTGGGGCGCGGAAAACGCTACAAGGGCCAGTTAGTTAGTCTCGCAGGCGAATGACGATACAAAGGATTGTCGTGCAGAAATCTAGTGGCTTGACGTGGAGTGAGAATGTGGAGAAAGTGCAGCAAGTGGGATTGGGGTAGTAGTGATTGCCTGAGCGAGTCGTGGACAAGGCGGAAGAACGAGCAGGGCTAATAGGCCGGTGTGAGGTCATTGCACATGATGGAGGCCCTATCTGAGACCATGCAAGGTCAAGACAAACAAGATGCAACAACAGAACAACGTCATGTGCGGGAAGACAAGACGGGAGACGAGACTCACTCAACCGTCACGATGCCGTTGGACCGACAGGGGACATCAATCTGTTCGTGTGGCGCTGGAGCTGACGCTGCTGAGAATGGCCGGGGCTTGGAAGCGCCCAGACGCGCGTAGTAGGCGGGCCGTAGTCGCGGGGGTCGCAGAGCAGAGGCAGCCTTTTGACAGATGCGTAGCGGCATCAAAGGTGGGCACACAAGCGAGAGTGGCAGTGGTCAGGCGATGGTTTGGACTGTGCTGGCTGTGGGAGGGAGGGAGGGAGGGTGTTGGTGACAGGCAGCTAGCTGGCTGGCTGGCTGGCAAATGGCTGACACATGCAGACTGCGGCGGGCGGCCTTTGGGCGGGGGGAGGGAAGCAGAAGGGGGGCAAAAAGAGCGGTCGCAGTCGCAGTCGCGAGAAAACAAGCGCGACGGGTGGGCGGGATGCGATTCGAAGAGTGCGATGTTGGCTAGAAAATGGGCCTGGCCGGGCGTTGGCCATGCATTGATTGACTGTCGCAAGCCGGCCTTGTTCAGGGGAAGGCGTGGGCGGGGGCAGAATGTGGCGTGCGTTCTGCAGCCAAATTACTTAGTTCAGCTGGCCGCTTTCTTCTCTCCCCCGACCAGAACTCAGCACAGCGAGGGCAAGGGAGCTTGGCTGCACTGCACTGCCCATAACCCAACGCCATCCTTTTGCCCATTGTGCTTGCTCCAAAAACAACCCCTCAACCTGCCCGCGCCTGCAGCCATCGGCCTCGCACCCTCGCTCACGCCTGTGCCTCTCCCCGCCGTCCCTTGATTTCTCGCGTCTATAACCACATGCGCACTTGTCGATAGCACTATAATATCCCGCAGAGTGGACCCTGTGCCTGTGCGACTCCACCCGTCGTTCAAGCATACCCTTTCCTCGCCGCTCCACCCAGCGCGTCTCCTTAACACCACCCTCTGACCGCCTATACGATCCTTTTACCACTTGCACCGCTGCCTGCAAGTCGCCAACCCTCATAGCCTACTCCAGCACCGTACCTACATTGGCAGCCCTACACAACCACCTGCGAACTCTACCCACAGGTCGTTGCCTGTCGGCCTGTCAATATGGCTCAAGTATCTAGGCTTCGCGCAACCTTGACGCTACTCAAGAACCTAGCGCTGGCTGCACTGCTCTACGGAGCCATATACGGCCTCATCACCTTCGTTAGTGACCCCTCAGTCGCGGCAAAGGGCAAAATCGGCATTCCCGCCTTCCTCGACAAGGCTGGACCGACAGAGCTGATCGAGACCACCCGCTCCGGCGTCAAGGTCAAATTTGCCGGCACCACCAAGACCGTCACCATCAATCCGCACGCCAATGTCTTCAACCGTCCCATTACCGCTGTCAAGAACAAGGACGACTACCTGGGCCCTCGCCCTCACGTCGATACCGAGGCCGACATCGACATGTTGATTGAAGAGTGCAGGGGCACGTATGCTGGTATCGAGAAGATGAGGAAGCCGTTTGACTGCCTGAAGTTCTTTGCCGAGGGAGAGGATCGCTACTACAGCCTGCCAGCTGCCGCCGACCGTGCAAGCGCCCAAGATCCCCGCAAGGCAGACTTCATAAACGCAGACGGACACGGAAACACATTGGACAAATACACCCCCGTAAAGGACGCAGTCGCCGCCAATGGCACCAACATTGGAACCTGCCCGGGCCCAATCATTCCATACCACGTCTACTGGACCGGCCCAGCTACCTGGCGAGTCGAGGTCTTCATCAAGAGTTATCTATACACCCAGAACCTGGCTTGCTCTCGTTTGTGGCTGTGGCTTGACAGCGACCGTAACCCCAAGGCCGTTTACAATATGCTCAACAAGGACGCCCTCTTTGCCCGTTTCTTGCCATTGGTAGAGAGAGGTGACATTGTTGTCAAGGCCTGGAACTTCCCGAGCCGCATTCCACTAGCTACCGACAAGGAAAACAAGAATGGTTTCAACTACTACAGCAAGCCTGGACTGCCCAACTCAAAGGGCGAGAAGGACGTGGCTGAGAACATTGTTGAAGACAAGCAAGGACAGCAGTGGCTTGTACTGACCCAGAAGCAAATGACCTTCCTCCCCGTCGCCGTCTCTGATGCAGTCCGCTTCATTGTGTTGCACATCTACGGCGGTGCCTACTTCGATATGGATGTGCTCATGCTCAGGGATATGCGTCCGCTCCTTTTGCCCAAGGAACACGCTTTTGCTGAGCGATGGGCTGCCCACCCCCACCCAGGCGACTACAACACGGCCATCATGTCCCTTTCCGCAAACTCTTCGCTTTCTTCTTACCTACTTTACGGCGGTATTCGCATGGGTGTCAACTTCCATCCCCGTGTCCTTGGTCGCATGGCTTGGAAGGACGGACGTGACCAGGAATTCAAGATGTTTGAGACCGCCGCATTCGACCCTATCTGGACGGAATTCAACTGGGATCGTGAGGGCCGATGCACCGTTCCATGCATTCGTGATTACAGCGCTGTGTTCAAAGGCAAAATTGGTGGAATCCGCGATGAATGGGAGAGCTATGATGGACCACAGTTGGACCGTATTGATCTCAAAGATGCGCATCGCAAGGAGCTGAGTTCCGCTCCTAAGGACGAAAAGCGTGACCAGGACAACGTGCCTGTGTCTGCAGCAGCGCAGACTCCTAGCCACGGCGACAAACCGGGACACCATGATTCGTTCCAAGCTACGCTCGACGAGGAAGCTGAGCTCCGCAAGGCTGGTGTCATTTCAGACTATGTCCTTCAAGAAGACAAGTTCCCACCAAACAACCGCACCCTTGAGAACTTTTTCCGTGGCGCATGGACCTATCATATCCACAATCAGGTAAGTATCTTTATCCGCAGTACCAGCATCAATAAAGACCAAGACTGACATAATCTTTGTAGTGGATGAAACACCCTGAACCCTCATCGTGGCTTTCGGTCCTCGAACATGCACATGACGGTTTCATTGCCGGCAAGCGTACCAATCCTTATGGCGAGAAATGGACCGGTCCCAGTATTATGCCATACAACTACTGGCCTGAGTATGTATGAGCGGGCTGTAGCCCGTCCATTTCCATGGCCATCTTCGACGCCTTCCTCCTTTTTACCTCATCGAGTTTACACTCTCGGGCGAGCAAAAGGTCGCCGTGCCGAGTTTGTTCCTCTCCGCGCCCACTATACACCGATCCCCCGTTTCTATGACAAGTACCTCAAGCAAGGAGATCGCAGCCTCGTGGATGCGCTCTCTTCTTGATGCGTACTCCGCCAATGATCAGACACGACTGTAATGTCATATGGGACCAAGAAGAAAGCAAGATCAGGAGTCAACGGCGTCATATCAGACAAATATACATTCTACCATCCCAGCCTCTGGCAAGGTGTTTATCTCATTTTTTCTGGCGTTCAGGACAACACTCATCGCGATTGGAAGCAATTATCACCTTTTAACTCTTCATCACACAACCATTTCTAGCACTCTTTTCCGAACCACGGCGAAACATATATACCCTTCGTTTTTTTATCATTCGATATATACATTCTTCCACTTCTGTTTTTCTTGCGAAGCGGAAACTTTTTGGGAGTCGATTATATGGGTGTTGTTGTTTTGTTGTTCAAGAGAAAACATGGGTTGTGGTGTTGTGGGAGTAAGGAACAGAAACGCAATCGGAATAAAAGCGCCGAGACATTATGCATGATTGTAATAGAGATGAATTGACATGATGTTCAAGAGAACTTGGTGACCCTGGTCAATTGCTTGATATGTGAGACTCAAGTTTGATGTGATATTCGATCCTATCATCGATCACAAACTCCGTAGCCTATGCAATATTCGCACTTCACCCGGCCAATCTTCTTCGTGGCTACAACTTAGGCCTATCCCGTTCAAGGCCAAGCCAGTAAAAACGACAAGAAGACGTGAACATCACCAACAGGGACAGTCTTCAAAATCTTTTTTTTTAGAAAAAAGTGTTCCATATTTCCAACAGGCAAGAATGCCTGCTGTGAGCCTTCCTCAAAGTACTCTCTCTCTCTCTCTCTCTTTCTCTCTTCCATACATAGCCACTCTCTAGAAATTACAAATCAATCAGAGGTTCATCAGCCACCTTTGCTTGCTGCGCGGGGAGCTGGTTCTGAGGCGCAGACGGGAAACTCTCAGGCCCGTAGCCTCCAGTCGCATACGGGGCTGGCTGCCATCCAGATGTTTGCGGTTGCTGCTGGTGAGGCGCTTGATGTTGTTGCTGTTGCCAGTACTGTGGTTGAGGTGGTTGCTGTTGCTGTTGCTGTTGCTGAGGTGCCTGGGGTTGCTGTTGAGCAGGGGCTTGCTGTTGAGGAGCCTGCTGCGGTGGACCTTGCTGTGGTGGGGCTTGGTTCTGGTTCTGATTTTGTTGCCAATTTGGAGGCTGGTCCTGTTGAGGATATGGTGGGTTTTGCCAGGCAGTAGCGGGCTGCGAGGGCGGTGAAATGGGTGTCTGTTGTGGCGGTGCCCGAGCATATGCTTGGGGAGAAGGAGGTTGTTGTGAAGGTTGGGAGCCATAACTTTGCGTCCGTTGCATGGGTGGCTGTGAAGGCTGTGCCGTGTTGTTTTCTCCATAGTAGTAGCTGGCACTATCTGCGTCGGATACCCCCGATGGTGGCGCTTGAGAAGGATATTGCTGGTTCGAAATTTGGCGTTGTAGCTGTGGTGACGAAGGTTGTTGGTAAGACGTGCTAGCGGGTCGCTGGGTCAGGTTCGGATATGGTTGTGATGGTTGTTGATACTGTTCATTAGGTGGGGCGTAGGATGCGGGTCGTTTGTCGAACTGAGGATAGGGCTGTTGCTGTTGCTGGTAGCCTCCACCATACTGTGACTGAGGCTGTCCATACGCGCCTGAAGGAGGTGCATTTCCTGTGTAGTAGTTTTCACCAGCAGCATCTGGTGCGCCTGACTGTATACTAGGATAGAGATTTGACGCCGGTCGTTGAGCAGACGGAGGCAGTCCATACATGGTGTTGGCTTGGTTGTATGTGCTCGACAGTCTTTCCTCAAGCATGCGATCATAGTAACGAACAACAGTGGAGAGCTTGGCGTGCAGATCGAGTAGTGTATCTATAATCGTCAATGCGTGACCTTGTAATAGTTGAAAAGTACATACCATGCTTGCTCATAGTCTCACCATAGGTACGTGCAAGCTTCGGCCTGAGTTTACCAATGCTCT